GGGGGGGAGACTAGTCGACTATCCGAGAAGCTTTTGCTTAACTGATAGGCGAATACATCCCTAAGTTTCAGCCCAAACAACTAATTGGGCAATATTATAAGCAACTGAAAACATGGTCTTAAAAAGGGTAATGTTAAGTTACCCTATCTATAGCAGCAGCTGCTATCACTGACTGTAATACCCGTAATACATACAAATAATTATATTTAAAGGACATTAAGTTTCCAAAGTGAAGCCTTTGTATTTTTGTTGTTTCTTCGCTTTCATGGTTGCCTATTCAAACTTAATTTGGCCCCATTTACGTTGAGGTAAGCCACATTTTGATAGTCTTCAATTACATGACCACAACCTCTTTTTTTCCCCCATAAGACCCTTCCCTCATTTTGTAGGTGGTACTGAGGAAAAAGGGCAGCTGTTCAAATTGAATGACAAGGATAAAAATTTGTAAACCCTGCCTTTTTTCCTCAGCACCATGCAAAGTAGACAATTACTCTTTTCCTCAGAGTGTTTTCTGTAAACTTTCCCATCACCCTCGCATCTGAATGTCATAAACAGTGATTTTACCTTATGAGCATTCTTCTTCCCATGTAACAACTGGGGAAATGGAAACAGACTTGCCCCTGAGGCAGAGTAGTGAATTTGTAGCAGAGCCAGGATTCGATTTTAGAATTTAGTGACCACCTGTCAAAATTTGTGGTGTAAATCAGTCTCTTAGCATCATGTAGAAAGCATCTGGCTGGCATAGAGTTAGAACATTCACTACACATCTTCCAGAGTGGTTCCTGTGGGCTCGTGCACCCTGCCTGCTTCTCACCCCTAGCTCTTTAGAGCTAGCTATCTGGTCCCTGCTCATGAACCTCCCCGGCTGCCCATGTCATGCAACCTAACTCAGATGAATACCATCCAGGTTTGCCTCTGAATCAGTCCTGGGAAACATTTGTATGCGCTTAAGCCATCCATTTCCTCACCCTCATGACCAGAACTGGCACCAAGTGGCTGAATCTGTTGCCACCGAAGGAAGGCAAAGAGGGCTCCCTTCTGCCAGTGAAGTTTCTTTCTTCTGTAGTTATGCGGAGTCACAGAGTGTAGTCTCTTCTTGTTGACTCTGCTCTTTCTTCCTCTAAAGCTGCAATCCAGGGGGCCAGTTATGATGGTTTGTGTTTTGTAGGCTCTTGTCTATGTAAGAATGGAAACTGAGACCCTCCCGGTTCATTTGTAGGCCGCTGAACAGCAATTAATTAACTTTCGATTCATGCCAGGTTAGCTGAACTAACAGCAGTCCTCTCGAGGTGAAAATTGCACTTACCACTTAATGTTATATATTAAACTTTAGAATGAAACCTCCTGGCCTTTTGCAGTGCAACAAAATATATTCATGCCATGGCAGAAGTGGTATTTCTAGAAGTTACTATTTACAAGTCAGTGGTAAAGTTGTGGCACAGGATAGAATTTTGACTCCTAGAAGGGGCTGTTTCTCCTCTTTGTTTTTGTTTAAAGGGACATTGTGAAGAAATTGATGTTTTCTCAGAGGCTTCTACCCATAAGTGACCCTTCAAAAGGGAGGTAGAGAACTTGTGCAATGGGGCATGACAGGTTGAATTTACATATGGGTTCAAGTGCCCAACAGATTCCACTGCTAGTTAGGGGAGAACAAAAAACCCCAAAGACGACCACTGGGTAGCGTGGTGTCATGGCACATTGCATCCAAACCCACACTTCAAATTAAACACAATAAAGCAGTATTTCTCATTT